GTGAGGTATTCACATAATTCAAGAAGTTCAAGTTGCATGTTGAGAAACAAAGTGGCTGCAAATTGAAGAAGTTAAGAACTGATGGTGGTGGTGAATGTACTTCTGCTGAATTTTCTAGATTTTGCAATGAGGAAGGTATAGAGAATGAGGTTATTGCACCCTATACGCCTCAGCATAATGGCATAGCTGAGAGAAAGAATAGAAGTGTACTGAACATGACGAGATGTATGTTGAAAGCTAAGAATATGCCTAATATATTTTAGGCTGAAGCAACTTCAATAGCAGTATACATTCTAAATAGATGCCCAATGAAGAAGATGGTCGAAAAGACACCGCATGAGGCTTGGATAGGGTCGAAGCCAAATGTAAGTCATCTTAGAGTTTTTGGATCAATGTGTTTCAGGCGTGTACCTGAACAATTGAGAAAGAAGCTAGATGATCATAGTAAAGTCATGGTGCTCATAGGTTATCATTCGACTGGTGCATATAAGCTGTATTCGCCAATCAAAGATAAACTAGTGATCAGTAGAGATGTTCTTGTAGATGAAAGCAAAGGATGGGATTGGAGTCGAAGTTCAGTTCGACATGAATCAAACATAGTCACAACTGTGTTTGAAGAAGATGAACAGAATGAAGCTTCGACAAGTCAAAATGAAGAACCACCTGTGCAGAATGAAAGAAGATCCACAAGAACAAAAACTGAGTCGACTAGGATGATTGGATATGAGAGGTTTCCAAATCAAGAAATCGATGCAGATGGTGACTTAATCAAAGAAGCCATGATGATGGCTGAAGCAAAATCAATTTATTTGGGTGAAGCCTTGAGCAATTTGAATTGGTGTGAAGCCATGAAAGAAAAACTTAGAGCCATTGAAAAGAACAAAACTTGGGAGCTTGTCGAAAGAACCAACAAGAAACCAATCGATGTGAAATGGATCTACAAGGTGAAACGAAGGCCAAATGGTGAGATTGCAAAGTATAAGGCAAGACTGGTGGCCAAAGGTTTTCTACAAAAACCTGGTATTGACTTCGATGAAGTATATACGCCTGTTGCAAGGATCGAAACAATTAGGATTGTTGTTTCGATAGCTGCATGTAGAGGATGGAAAATGCACCAACTTGATGTAAAGTCGGCATTTTTGAATGGTCCATTAGAAGAAGAAGTCTATGTTACTCAACCATCAGGTTTCGACATTAAAGAGAAAGAGTCAAAAGTTTACAGATTAAGAAAGGCTCTCTATGGCTTGAAGCAAGCTCCCAGAGCTTGGAATAAAAGGATAGATAGCTTTCTAATCGAAGCAGGTTTCACAAAGTGTGTCTCTAAACATGGAGTATATGTAAATGATGTCGAAAGTGTCAATCAAATAATTTTATGTCTCTATGTTGATGACTTACTCATAACAGGAGCAGACGAAGTTGAGATAATGAAGGTAAAGTCGAAGTTAATGCATAAATTCGAAATGTCTGATTTAGGGAATCTCTCCTATTTCCTGGGAATGGAATTCAAAGACATCGAAGAAGGAGTTTTCTTGCATCAAATGAAGTATGCTCAAGATATACTGAACAGGTTCAATATGAGCAACTGTAAGGCAGCTGTTACTCCATTAGATACTGAAGCAAAGCTGAAAAAGGAATTGAATGATGAATTTGTAAGTTCGACTCTTTACAAATAAATCATTGAATCCTTGAGGTATATTTGCAACACTAGACCAGATATCTGCCAAAGTTTAGGATTGTTGAGCAGATTTATGGAGAAGCCTCAAGAATGTCATCTCATCGCAATAAAGAGGGTGTTGAGATACATAAAGGGAACTATTGATCATGGTGTGTTGTTACCAAAGAAATCGAAGAGCAGCTAAGATGTCGAAGTTCACGGATACACTGACTCAGACTTCAGCGTAGATAAAGACGAAAAGAAGAGTACTATAGTGTTGTACCCCAAAATTTTCCCTCCCATATTTCTCAATACATTTCAAGTGAGGTCCTCAAAATTGCTCAAGGAAATCCAAGGGTTGACCAGACAAACCCTCTCCTAAGGCAGACTACCTCAAACTAGGGTTTCATGTTGCATCAAGATACTTGAGTCCATGGGATCCCCAAATGCTCACCATTGTCCTAATATGTTCTCAAGATCATCCATGTCAAGTTTCAAGCCCTGCAGAGGAAATTTGCTCAGTCAATTGCTCAAAGGCTTGAAAATCGACTATGCTAGGGCAAAGGTCAACTGTGTCCTACATACAGTCAAACTTCAAGATTTTTGGTCAACATACTCATTTTGAAGTATTATTCATCATTTGATCAAGGTTTGATCATGATTCCTCAAGGATTTCTCACAATTCATCAAAACCCAAAAGTTGCTAAATTAGGGTTTTGTAGGAAAAGTCAACTCAACTTTGACCAAGCATAACTTTCTCATACTTTATTGGAAATGATCCATCCAAATCTCATTTTGAAGAGAATTAAATGCCCTACAATTCATCTTCAGCTCTCAAGTTCAAAATATGCACTCACAAAAAGTTATGAATTTGAACATTATAGGTCACTTTGAAAAGTCAACAAAAACACATTTTTTATCAAAGCTTCATACATGAACATGGAAGACTCAATTGAGATGAGACCAAAAAGGTTGCTTATAAGACATCTCAAGCTTTCTAAAAAGTTAAAGAACACCCTCATAGAGTCAAAATTGAAGAAGTTATGCATTGGTGAAGTTGGTCTTTTTTGCAAAATTGCCAAAAATCAAATATGCCTCAAATTGCAATTGTTGTCAAATGGGCCCAACTTTTTGTACTTGTTTTGAGTTTGTAACATGGTCCACGACCCATAATCCTTCCCACTTGCCTTTATTTTATTTTTGCCATTTTATTTTGATTTTTATTTCAATTAAATCAAATTAAATCAAAATAAATCATGGAAATATCAAAATAATTTAAGCCTTGAGATTTTGTGCATATTTCAGGTCCCTTATACAGCTAGCAACAAAATCAAATCGTGCAAGGCATGTTTGTGCATAGAAAGATTGGTTTTTGGCTTATTTTGGAAAGATCTTCATGGGAATCAAATCAGTCCGGTTTTTCCACCGCGACTCTTGCTTACCGCGACATTTTGCGAACACAAACGCAAAACGCAAACCAGCATTTTCCAAAACAGTCTGGTTTTGCCACCGTATCACATGTAGGATATATTTTCATGATCGAATGAGCTCCAATCTCCTGGAGTTCGAGGAAGCAAAGCATTGTGGCTTTGTCATCATACGAAACAAAATATGTGGTTGCATCATATGTTGCATGTCAAACAACATGAATCAAAATGCTACTTGAAGAACTCAGTAATGGAATCGAAGATGAAGTTGTTTGTTGATAACAAGTCAGCTATAAACCTTGTGAATCACCCAGTGTGTCATGGTCGAAGTAAACACATTGAAAGAAGGTACCATTTTGAGGGATCAAGTCAACAAAGGGAAACTTGAAATAAAACATTGCAAGACAAAAGTACAACTAGCTGACATATTCACCAAACCTCTGAAAAAAGTGAGGTTCGAAGAGTTAAAGAAAGGCATTGGGACGAGAAGTATTGATAACATGAATTAGGGGATGTGTTAGTTGGTTAATTCTTGTTATGTAGTTATTTGAGCTTTTAGCATGTATTTGGGTCTGAGCACTTCACCTATATAAAAAGCCATTTTATTTGTAATCGAAATGTAGAAAATACAATAACAAATTCAGTTAGAAAGTTAGTTACACCTAACTAACTCACAATTTCTTTCTCTTCTTCGTCTTCTTCTTATTTTCTCAAGAATCATCTTTTTTGAATCATTTGTTCCAACAAATATTGAGAAAAGAGAGTGACTCTTTGAAGAGAGATCATAAACCATCTTACTTCTCTTGAAGCATATATTTCCGGGGCTTCCTCAATCTTTATTAGATATGTTATGACAACGTCTTTATCGAACCGAACCTTGTAATCAATTATTGTGCTATTGTTTAGGCTTACTGTTCTGACAAGTTAAATTTAATATAGCAGGATGCAGGGCAAGCCGTTCTTGAAAATTATTCAAGAATAATGGAAAGCTTTGCCTTTACAGTACTGTCAAGAATAGAAGATGCTCTCCACGCAGATTGTCAAACGGTAAGTCCGTCACAAGGAAGAAGAAGCAGTGTAAGAAATCACCAAGAGAAGGGGTCGACAAGAGCATCAGCGCAGAACCACTTTGTTCGATGACACTATCAGATTTCATGGGTTGGAACAACGAGCAAGGTGAATCAGACATGAATAAAAAGGATCCCCTTGCTGCTTCAGATGATTCGGACAAAGATATTGATAGTGGAAAGCTTAGCAAACTTAATTATTTAATTTGATATATATTATTATTATTTTATTATTAATGTTATTATTTTATTAAATGTTATATAGTTGTATGTAACACTTTACAGTTGTACTAGCTGTTGTAACATTGATTGATACAAAATTTACAGCTGTACATATGTTTATAAGTACAAAACTGAACCAATTAATTACTACTATTTTTTACAACTTTTTACAACTTTTTACAACTGTATGTGTACGTAGCTGTATAACATTTAATAAATTAATTATTTTAACTTTTCAATGTCTTTTTTAATCAATATTTAATCTAACTGATACTTATCCTTTCCTTTTTCCTCTTCTTTCTATTATTCATCTTCTTCTATATCATTTCAGTATCCTAAATACATAGAAGAAAAGTAAAAAAAGAAAAGTGGATCAACTGCTCCGCCAGGCTTTGACCCGCAATTTCAATGGCGAAACAACACCCTTCTTTTCGCGCGGTGGGTGTCCGGAGCAATTATAAAACGAGTATTCACACAATCAACATAAGAAATTATAAAATGAATATTCACACAATTAACCTAAACAATCATAAAAATGAGTAATAACACAATCTATTAGTATGAAAAAAACATATATATGAAAAAAATACATAAATTCAAACAAATAAACCATCGATCATATACTTACTTTTAACAAATTGAAATTAAGCTTTCAACATAACCCTGGGCCAGACTCAAGTATAACGTATTGTAAGTTCCATCATCAACAATAGGTTTGTGCACTTTAATTTCTATTCGCTGCATACTATTATCTCTCAAATTATACAAAATTGCTACCTCATTTTTAGAACTACACAATACCAATGTATCACCATCCTGAGAAAGAAACAACGGCAAGAACGAAATATCATAATTTAATTGAAGAACGTGATAACTAATTTTAAGAAATTGAACCCAAGACTCTTCAACCCCAAATTTCTTCATCTGCCATATAACAATATCAGTTCCCTTATAAGAATAACACAAACAAAGGCATTCCTCCAACACGCCAATAGTTGGCTTTGTAGGTGGGATCTCATCAAAACCATGAGGCAGCCGATACTGACTGTATGTCTCCGTCCCTAGATCGAGCGAAACAATAACAAGGTCCTCAACAGTAAAGTCCCAATCAAAAACTGAAACTTCCCAATCGATGTACTTGAGACTAGCCAACCAGTTAAGAGTGCTATTTAAAAACACACAGCCATATTGAGGTTCTTCAGCTATACATTGTCCACGCTCATCCAAACCAAAAGGAACAGCAGGGAAACTTTCAATCTTTCTCCAAACATTTTCACCAATAGTGAAAACTCTAACATCACTAGTAAATCCGTCACCAATAAAGCGGTATGCAACCACTTTAAAAGTGTCGGTGGATTCATCGCAGCCAAAAGTGAAGACAAATCCATGAGTTGATTCACGAAAATACCCAATTTCTTGAGATATTTTTCTAGTGGCTGGGTTCCATAATCGGAACGAGAACTCTTGAGATATTTTGAGATAGTCAAAAGTTATACGATTATGAACCAAACAGATCAATCCATTGCAGGAACCAACCATAGAAAAATATTTATTGTTTAAAAGATGGTAAGAATCAGCGACAAAGGTTGCGGACGGGTTATCGATTAAACGACTTATAGGGTATGTGATTATACTCCAATCACAATCATAATCAAAATCATAAGCTGACCTGAAAGCTATAAGTTTGTAGTGCTTAGTGATTAGTGTGAATTGCGGATTTGGTGAAGATTTTGATTTCTTGAGGTGAAATTTCACAAAAGTAGGATCGGAAATGAGCGTGTTCCAAGAATTACTTACACACTTGAATCGAACAAGAGGTTTAACAGGAAGTAACGAAATGATCTCGGTGATGAGATCATGGGGTACAAACATTGTCGTCGAAATCTTCGTCGTGCCTGATTTTATATTCATTGGAGCAGTTTCGATTCATAACATAACGACTCATGAGGGAACTATCTTATATAAAGGTCATTTATTATTTTTATTTCGATTAAGGTTTTTAACAAAATAAAACTAAGACTAATTAAGTAAATTTTAATATTCATTTCATTTTTATTTATTTAGTAAAACTTAACCTTTCTCATTAACACATTAAAAAAATTAACTTTTTTTCACTAGCTATTTAAGTGTTACATTTTCCCTTTTTCTTTTTATTGATTCTCTTAATTTAAAAATTATATAAAATTTTCTAATAAAGTAAAATTTACATTTTCTTTTTTTTATTAGCTGTTTTTACTTTTTCTTAATAATATATTTTTATTCTTTTTTTTTTTCACATTTTAATTAGGAAAAAATAACACGCTTTTTCTTATTTTTTCTAAATGACATTTTATATATAAAAGTGTTAATAAGTCATGGGAGGAACAATCACTACATAAAAAAATATTTAATCTCAAATGCAAAGTAGATTTAATGTCGATTATAGAGTTGAAGTAACGAAGGACGTCATGATAACTTGTCATTTAATTTCTTGATTTTTAAATAATCGAGGGGATAATTGAAATAATCATTGGTTCGATCCCTAACTTTTTTATATTTTTAAAACTAGCGCCACATACCTCTCGGTTTATGACCAAAATCGAGAAGAAAAATAAGTTATTTTTTTACATACTCATTATATTTTTTACAGGGAATATTAGTAAATTAATTTGTTTATAAACTACATTATTTACACGAAATATTATATTGTTTATACATAATATTTAACTTAAAATATATAACAAATTTTGAATTCGATTCATCGTCAGTGTCAATGAAGAACAAATGATGGATCCTTGTTTCATTGAAAGCTTGGGAAAAATCAAATGTTTGATGAAATATATTCTCGATGGCTTTTGCATTCATTTATTTCTGATATAAAACAAAAAAATGTTAAATACATAAAATAAACATTCAGTTATATGATTATTTAAGAACACAAACCTTGAACCCAAATAATTTTATGCTCTTATAATCCATCATAGAGAACTTTATCAACCTTCTTTATGTTTCAAATTGTTCATGTCAAATGTTTTATTATCAATTTTTGATATTCATAATGTTTTTATAATGAATTTCTTTTAGGTTTTACACGGATCACTAATGGCAGTGTCTTGAGTGTTGATACTCATTAAATAGACAATAAAGATGTGTTTAAGGACAATGAAGAAACTCAATAAACACGATTATATATCCTCTCGATTATGAGTCAAAACTGAGGTAAAATATATTTCATTTTAAATAAAAAATACAATGAAATATGTTTCATCCCAAGCACCACATTTCTCTCGGTTTCTGTTAAAAATCAAGGGGAATAAGTTTTTTTTTTTAAATTACATTGTTTATACGGAATATTAAAATGCATTAATTACAACAAATCCAAATTTTGACAAATTTGATTCATTATCATCGTTGTTATTCTTAGAGAACAACAAATCTTTTGTTGTTATCCAGATTTTGTTGTATATCCTTTGTACTCATTCAGAAACTCTGGTATTCAGATCTCAGATGTCCTAAGAGATGTCGAGACACCTTTCTCTGACCAAACACACAATGAGAATGTAATCGATAAAACAATGCAGAAAAGTAAAGAACACACGCGATTGTTAACCTAATTCGGTGTACAACAACACCTACTTTGAGAGCTACTAAGCCATGGACCAAGTCAACTAGATAGTATCAATTTGTAGACCCGCAACAAATTTTCACCTAGTTTACAATCTACTCACTTAATCACTACTCATGCTTAACTTCTACCTAAGACTCACCTAGGTATGAGACCCTTCTCAAATCCCTTTCAATCACATATCAATGACTGAATAATTCTAAACACTTAGAACAAAAGCAGAAGTCACACTTCAAAGACACACAATCATTCACTGCATAAAAGCTTTAGAGTGACTGACAAAACTTACAACTCAAAAATACAATCTTACTCTTTCATCAAGATGATAATCGAAAGGCTCACAATAAACACACAAACCCTAATAAAAATATATTGTAAGTTCCACACTTGTACTAGGGTTGAAGCCTTCTTTTTATAATCTTCAATAGACTGGATTTGGACTTCACAAGCGCAACTGGATATGAAAGAGGAGTTACGGAATTGTCTCCTCAAAGATAGGACACCAATCATTAGTTTCCTAAATTATCTCCACAATTAGAAACTAAGAATACTCCTTGAATTCAACTTGAATATTTTTACTCTTCAAACTGTGCGCCATATAGGATAGCATAATATTTTCAGAATATTCTGCACATGTAACAAACTAAAATATCCAACAATCCAGCTATACAAAATCACGATGTCGAAAGAACCTGAACATGACATCGCATTCGACATGTTGCTTCAGATGATAGAACATCTTCTTTCAACATGTTTCTGCTAAGTTTTTTTTACCAAAAACAATTCCAATCACAAAAATAGAGAATTAACAATCTCTCCCTTTGACTTATTTTGGCGAAAACAACTTAGTACTTCTTCCACACATAAACAACATAACAGGCTCAGGTTTGAAAATAAATCAAACACACAAATAATCAAGAGGAACAACAGCAGAAGCAAATATCAGAGCAAGCTAGTGGAAGCTACTCAACACATCACACAAGAGAGTTTCAGATTCTCAACATGTCTAGACATCATGTATGACATTTCTTCAAGCCAGTCCAAAATCGAACGGAAGAGGAAGCTCCCCTTCAAGGGCACAACACATATATTAGTCCCCCTTTTTAGCCATAATATGACAAAGTTAAGTAATAAACAACACTTGTAGCACATGTATGCTAAACAAATATTGAGCATTTAACCCTTACAAAATCATAAAGCAGTAAAAACAAGTACACAAAGAGAAACCAAATGGAATCACAGAAACCATAATCATGCATCATCCTCAGGATCATACTCTTCTCCTTCTTCATTAGCATCATCACCAGCAGATGCAACAATTTCACTACAAACAGTAACATCATTACTTCTGTCAGTAGGTTCCTCACTTGCGAAGGTATCACAACCATTTCTGGAACTTGTGTTCCACCAAGCAATCCATAATTCTAAGATAAAAGAGATTCCCTTTTCTTGACACCATTCATACCAATAAAATACCAAGATGCAGAATTTTATTGGCCCACCAGAACATCAGTAATTGCTATAAATCCTCATAAATATAGATACTTAGTCTTCTTCGCAAATTTTCAAACTGCACCACATCAAGAGCTTTTGTAAAAATACCAGCAAGCTGATTTTGAGTGCTAACATGCTCAATAGTTACAACTTTGTCGCCAACAAGCTCTATAATGAAATGATGCATGATATCAATGTGCTTAGATCTACTATGTTGAATAGGATTTTTGGAAATGTTAATAGCACTCAAGTTGTGACAAAATAATTTCATAATGTCTTGTGTGACATTATATTTAGATAACATTTGTTTCATCCATACAAGTTGAGAACAACTACTTCCTACAACAATGTACTCAGCTTCAGCCGTAGATAGAGATACACAATTCTGGGTCTTGTTGAACCACGAGATCAAATTATTTCCCAAAAATAAACATCCACCAGAAGTACTCTTCCTATCATCAGTACTCCCAGTCTAATCAGCATCACAATATCCCATAAGCACTGAATTTGAATCCTGAGAATATAGCATACCTGTTGGTTGAAGATTTTGATAATATTATTAGAAGCCAAGTGAATTGAACGTTTCGATTGAAATGAAACAAAGCGTCATGTTTCGAAATAGCAGAAGCAGTGTTTCGAATGAGCATATCAAAGCTTGGAGCTTCGAGTGGCAATTATGGGAACATATCTAAAGAAGTCTCGAAATGACAACAAGGTTGTGTCTGAGAAGTGCGTTCGAAGCGGAGAAGTACCAAAACATTTGAAATTAAAATGCAAGCGGGACATTCGAAGTTTGAAATTTATGTGCTGGAGCATTTGGAGACACGTGGAAACAAGAGAGAGGCATTGTTCTGCATGTTCTGAACGTGGCATAATCTTATAGCAAGACCGTTATGGTCGAAGTAGTATAAATAGAAGTCTTAGTATTAGGATTTCGTGTGTCATATTTATTGTACTAAATACTCAGTAAACATTCAAATTACCACATGGCTAGGGAAACGAATGCAAGAGCAATGTACGTATGATAGCACCACATGTTTATGATTTAATGAAAACTCTTTATCATTTCCAGTACTTTCCTTTATCTTTCTGCCAAATACCATTTACAAGTTTTCTCATTTAAAGTCTTTTTATTCGAAATCTTTTCATTGATGCCTTACATTTAAATGCTTTCTTTCCATTTCAAACACTTTACATTTCAGAAAACTGTCATACTTTTCATGCCTTTATCTTCAAGTTTTATCCTTTGAACACCTATTTTTACTTAAAGTCATTTTACAGATTTCTTGCATTAAACGCTTTCTTCGCATTTCGAATCTTTTACATTAACTGTTTTGTTTTACGTTTCGAAGCCATTTACTTATCTTTTATGCAATTTTACATGTCTTTACAATTAACATTTATTCATGCAATTTAGTTTCGCGCACATATATTTTGATTACACCTTTAGATCTTTAAGAGAGAAATCGAAATAAGTCAAACACCTACACAACACTCTAAATACCAACCATGAATACCTGTTCGATCATGAGAGTTACCCTAATGACCAACAAGTCCTAGGATCAATCTAGTCGATCCTGCGAGTTACCAGAGAAATTGAATAACAGTCAGTAAGTTTATTCGATAGTTTGGAAGACTAGCGGTTGTTTACCAGAAATCACTGGAAACAAATTGGCACACCCGGTGGGACCAATAATTGGACATTAGAAATAAAGATTGTTGAGACATAACCATTATAAAAATGTTGGAACCTAAGAAGTTTGTTGTTTTATGAACCTGAGAAGTGGTAAAATAACCAACAGCAACCAACCCT